AGCTGGGCATGGTGGTGTGTGCCTGTAGTTCCAGCTACTTGGAAGGCTGAGGTGAAAGGACCACCTGAGCCCAGCAGGTCGAGTCTGTGGTGGTCATGAGTGTGCCACTGTATTCCAGCCTGGGCGACAGAGTGAGACTCTGACTCAAAAAAAAAAAAAAAAAAAAAATTAGTAGAGCACGGTGGCACACATCTGTACTCCCAGTTACTTGGGAGGCTGAGGTGAAAAGACAGGCCAGGTGCAGTGGCTCACGCCTGTAATCCTAGCACTTTGGGAGGCACAGGCAAGGGAACTGCCTTAGCCCAGGGGTTCGAGACCAGCCTGGACAATTTGGTGAGACCTTGTCTCTACAATAAATAAAAAAATTAGTCGGGCATGGTGGCATGTACCTGTAGTTACAGCTACCTGGAAGACTGAGGGGAAGGACTGATTGAGCCCAGCAGGTCCAGGATGCGGCGGCTGTGAGCATGCCATTCACTAGGATCTATCTGTATTCTCTAAGGTAAAAACAATTAGCCAGGCGTGGTGGCATGAGCCCATATTCCCAGCTACTCAGAAGGCTGAGAGCCGGGCTTGGTGGCTCAGCCTGTAATCCTGTACTCTGGGAGGCCGAGGTGAGTGGATTGCCTGAGCCCATGGGTTCGAGACCTGCCTGGATAACTTGGTGAGACCTCATCTCTACAATAAATCAAAAATTAGCCAGGCATGGTAGCACACGCCTGTAGTCCCAGCTACTCGGAAGGCTGAGGCGGAAGGATTGCTGGGACCCAGCAGGTCTTTGCTGGGGTGGCCGTGAGTGTGCCACTGCACTCTAGCCTCCAGTTTGGGCAACAGAGTGAGACTCTAACTCAAAAAAAAAAAAAAAACCAGCCAGGCTCGGTGGCTCAGCCTATAATCCCACTCTTTGGGAGGCCGAGGTGAGTAGATTGCCTGAGCCCGTGGGTTCGAGACCCGCCTGGGCAACTTGGCGAGACCTCATCTCTACAATAAAATAAAAAAAATTAGCCAGGTGTGGTAGCGCGTGCCTGTAGTTCCAGCTACATGGAAGGCCGAGGCAGAAGGATCGCCGGAGCCTAGCAGGTCGAGGCTGCGGTGGCCGGGAGCGGCCACTGCATTCCAGCCTGGGTGACAGAGTGAGACTCCAACTCAAAAAAAACAAAAAAAAAAACCAAAGAAAAACCACCTCTCAACATTACCAGGTTGACCAGAAATACTGTATGTAAAATGCATAGTATAATCCCTCCCACATAGAAAATATTCAGTAAGTGTTACTTATCATTTTTATTGTTTGAAGAGACTCTATAGTTCTCCTCCAACAACCCACATGCAAATGAGAAGTATGCTACCTGGTAAATCAACCCCAGAAAAAACTATTTGTTTCAAGCCTAAATACTAGAGTTATAGACTTTGTAAGGAAGATGCTTACAAATAAATACCACAAAAAAGAGAAAACTAAGTTGTACCTAGCAGAGAAAGAAGTAACAGAAACATCTACAATGCCTTTCATTGCAGACATGACTTTGTCCAGGTCTCGGTTGTGGTTAACGTTGACTTCTACTCGGTGGGTTCCCTCTGTGGGGCAGTTGGGAGCTTTGGAAGGACGTATGGGCCTGGAGGTGCAAGGTCCTAGAGAAAAAAAAGTGTGGGGACGTGGGAGTGTTTGTGAGAGTTTTTTAAGATTAAAGAGATAAACTATTACAGACAAAATGTATAAGAAATGACTCCAGCTGAGCTTGGTGGCTCAGTCTGTAATCCTGCGCCTTTGGGAGGCTGAGGTGAGTGAATTGCCTGAGCC